CAGCTGGCGGGTAATAGTTCGTTTTTGTTTCTATTTTTTGTTTCTTTTTTTATTTATTTGTGAGCAAGTAGAGTCGCAGGCCTAGGCCGTCGCTGTTGTTGGTTGCATTTTCGTCTTGCGTCGTGGAGCGCGGCACGTCACTCGATACTGCGAAGGCTGAGGCAGGACACCGAGAGCAGGCCAGGACACCCAGACCTATCCCCTGACTGGTCCCCCGCGAGGAGGCACCGCCAGGCCGCGAAGCCTGCGCGCGGCGTCTGGAGACCAGATAACTCTCCTCCCTCCTCCTCTGTGTGTGTAAGTACGCTCTCGTCACGTGACGGCCCGCGCTGATACGCGGCGCCAAGCCTGCGGGAGATAAAAGCGTAAAAAAAGAGAAGGGTAAACACACACACAAAAAAAATGTCACAGCGCGCGCGTCGCCGCCGTACTTTGTGAAATAATATAAACGCAAATCTGTGAAAAGTGGACAAGCCGGACGTAAACTTTACGGCTAAATAACCAGGCAGCCGCGCGGCCGACGGTGGCATGCAGCCCGGCCGCTATCTCGGACATCAGATACCTCACAACGGCGCTGCACGCCACGCTGTCTCGCACGCCCCCTCCCCTTCCCCCCTTCAATAAATAAGGAAATGAACCTCATTCATCCTGGTGGTCCAGCGCAGCAGCAGCAGCAGCGCAAGCGCGCGCGCCCAAATGACGACATTTTGTTCGAAAGCAATGAGGGGCGGTAATGAGATATCGTGAGAAAGAGTCTGTCTCTCCCAAGGCCGGCAGGCGAGCGGACGGACGGACGGGCGGCGAGCAGGGCGGGCGCGAGCCCTCCTCCTCGCGGTGCGGCGCTATCACGAAGCGGGCTCAGAAGAGAGAAATAGTAGACTGCGAAAATTGATAAACACCCCCCCGAGGTGGTTCGCCAATGATACAACGACGCTCGAAACGGTATACACGGCGGCCTCGCTGCACACTGGAAAAACAAAGGTGCTACTGCACTAATGCCTTTGCAAAGGCACTAAAATTGCCAAAAATAGCACAGTTAGGGGCCAGTCGCACCTTTGTCAAGACACTATTTAACTAACGCCTGTAAAAAGGCATTAGAGCACCTTTGTTTTTCCAGTGTAGTAAATCTCACCGTAAGTTACAGCGACATCTGCAGCACTGCAAGTTACGGTGAATATCACTATCGGAAGTTACTGCGAACGAGTCAGATCGCCGTGGCGTAACGAAGGTCCACCACCGTAATGTACGACGAATTCCACCGATACATTACCGCATATCGGCTCACAGGGCGGGGACCAATATAATTCGCACTGCAGCGACAGCAGGGGTCAGCGGCGTCAACTCAGCTGTTGTCGCTATCAGTGACGCTAGAGTGACCACCGCCACGCCACGCCGCGCCGCGCCACGCCCCGCGCCCCGCGCCCCGCGCCCCACAGCGCGGGCCCGCCCAGCGGCACGGCAGCCGTTTACCGCCGCGCTCGCACACTCCAGACACGCAGGCGCGGGCTGAAACAAATAGCACGGCACAGAGCGCATGCAAAACGGAAGAGGGGAAATCGGAAAACCAAAGGCGAAACCGTCAACTGCTCTTAAAACCATGGGTCTCCACAGGAAGGGACGCAGTAGTCTGAAAAGGTTCACGGCGCCTTATAAACCTCTTCGAGTTGGGTACGTTTGCCGCGACGGGCCGGGCCATGCCGCCGCAGCCGGGACGATAGAGTGACCACCAGACTCCCCGCCTAATAGCAGTCGATGGAACCGATCCGGATGAGGGGGGCAGAAAAAGAAAAGCAGCGGCAGCAGCCGTCACGTGATGGCGCTCTGATGAAGACGCTGGTCAGAGGCTGATGCTAATTGCAGGTGCCGCCGGAGGGTCACGGGCCGGGTCACGGGGTCACGACAATGAAAAGTTGATTGCAAAGCGGCGGCGGCAAAAAAAAAGAACGAAAAAGAAAACGTGAAATAGTTCAGGAGACGACGACGGTGCCTCACGGCCACACACCACCACGAGCGGTTCGGTTTGTAAGAGCGCGGTGCTGCGGGTGCCACACTTGCTACTTGCCGGACGCGCACACATCATGAGGTGGAATCGATTGAAAGCGCAAAGTGTCCCGTAATGACACACCCCCATTGAGCCGGCGCACGGCCGCGTGCAAACAGCCCCATTGTGCAGCAGGGCCGCCGACGGTGCAGGGGGCGCTCTCAGGTAGCGGAGGTAAGCGGCAGGTAGCGCGCACCTGCAGCGGGAGCCTGAGCGCGCGCGCCGCCGGCCCGGGAGCAGCAGTAAAAGGCCGCCCTTTATCGCCCTGACCACTGTCATTCAGCGCGCCCAAGCAACCGCGCACTGATGAGCGGCGGCGGCGGCGGCACTTTTCTCACGGCGGCTCCTCCCCATCCTGCTCCTGCGGGTGGGTGCAACAACAGTTTGACTCGGACTGCAACCGGGCGCCGCGCTGGACACCACGTATATGTAGTACTACGTCACCCACCGCGGATTATAAAAGACGCACGCGAGTGACACTACGCCGGGCGCGCTGCTTGGCTTGCAGGCATACCCCGCGCCTCTGAGCGCCCGCCTCTCTCTCTACTTGGAGCGCCATCACTCTCGCCTTGTTTCCCCCCGCGGCGGGGCCAGGCACGTCGTCGTCGTCGAGGCCGAAACATTTTCACGTTTCGTTGTTGTCGTCCCGAAAGACCGCGGCGTGAGGTTGGTGTATATAACATGTAAAGTAAAGCACACGCAAAGCTCGTGTACCTCCCTCTTGGACCGCCGGTCCACATCGCCGCAGACAGACAGCCCCTCATTAGAGAGAGGCGCAGCGACACTTGAAACAAATCACGGTCATTATCCGCGGCGATAGAGACGCACCCGGAGGCGCCCCGCCGCGTTGGAAGAGGGAAACGTGCGAATGTCCGGCAGCGGGCGAGGCTGCCGGGAAAAAATATAAATAAATGCGGGAGGCAAAAAGGAGTGCGTCGGAAGAGAGGGGGGCGGCAGCAGGAGGACAGCGCCGCCGCCGCCGCCGCCCCCGTGTGCCTCACAGGACAGCCGACAGTTGTCAAGACCTTATCTCGCGACAAAAGTTGTCGTCCGGCACACCGAGAGAAAGAGAAAGAGTGAGGAAGAGAAGAGTGGGGAGGGGGGGGGGTGAGGGAAGGGCCGCCGCCCGGCGTCCAGCGTGAAGGGCTCACATAAAGGGCGCCGCGGGTCGGATTGAGCGGTAGCAGCCGGGGGAGCCGCGTGAGATGGAACAAAGAATGAGGGACAGAAAAAGAGCCGTTTCGAGGAATTATTTCTGAGCGCCGCGGGGGGAGGGGGGGGGCATCGCGTGTGCGGTATTCGTACTGCCGCGTAAAACTGTCTACTGTATGCGACGCGCGGAGCCAAGAAACGCCCAGAGGGTAAATTTACCCCTCTCCTGGTCGCTGTTGTTGCCGCCGCCAGCACCTCTGTCGCGCTGCTGGGGAAGGGCATGCAGGCTGCGTCATGCTGCATTTGAGTACCCCACAAACGTATGTACCAACATACACGGGTACCGAAGTACCGCAACAAGAAAAGTGACAAACTGGAAAATTGACCGACTCTCGTGTTGCGTTACACGCCGACCACTTGAATGCGAGACATTGTAAAAGCGTTTGCGTTTGCAGAGGCACGACGGCGTCGATCAACCGAAGGCTGCCGTGTAGGTTGCGGTTATCGTGCCCGGTTATAGCGACTTGTTTACATCTAGAGCTACTAGCATAAAGTAAACGGGTGTTCACCCACCGACAGGAGATGGCAACAGGTGCGCTCGAGCGGCAGAAGCAGTCCCGACCGCAACCCCAAAACAAACGAGACAAGTACGACGGGAAAACGAAATAAAAGTTAAAATAATAAAAATCTCTGCCGTGAGAGGGGGGCTGCTGCGGCCGAGAGGCCCGGTCGAGTACCTCCAGCCTACCAGTACCAGAACCCGGCACGGCTGGGCTCGGCACGGCTCGGTGCGGTCCGGCTCGGCTCGACACAGTGGTACCGGTTTGGCTGAGGGGCCGACAAGACAGAAGCGTGCTGGGCCGGGCAGCCCGCTTGCACGGCCGGTGTGCAGCGAGAGGTCCCAAGGGGCCCAACCAGCCCGACGGGGTGGCATGGGCTGATCTGCGAGCAGGGTTACCGACAACGACGGCGAATAACAGTCGGGCGTTATCCCCAGATTAGTGTTATACTTCCAGTCCGAGAGGAGGAAGTGGGGGAGAGGGGTGAGACGGTACAGGGGTCCTCGCCAATGCCTCCAGATGTTGGCACGGCTGTGCCCAGGGGCCCTACCTCCCAGAGGGCCTGCAGGACCACGTCCCGAGCACGCCCGGCCTGCCGGCAGCCATGCGGCAGCCCTCGCAGCCCTCCCGGTGTGGGGGTTATTTTCGACCTCGCTGTCAGCGGTCTGCTTGCTGCTGCTGCTCCGACAGAGCACATAAACTGGCTGGCCGAAGCGCTCGGTGTTCGCCTCTGCCTCTGCCAGCCGCCTTGCCTCGCCTGTGATTGGCGCACCGTCCAATGACAGCGCGTCGTCTGCTTGGTCGGCCGGCTGTCACTCCGTGGCCACCTGGTGGTCACGCCACGCCGCCCTACACTGTCGCGCACTCACACTAGTCCTTGGCGATCACTAAACTGTCCTCAGACACAGTCCTTGCGGCACATCACTCGATTGTTTACACAGTCCACATGGCGAGATGGCGCGGCGCAGCGGCGCACATGATGGTCTCCTTCTTATAGAGGCAGCGCCTGCAGCAGCAGCACTGGCTCCGCGTTCTTCTTTTTATTATTTTCATTTTCCTTTTCTTTGTTTTCGTTTTTATCTCGTCGCAGATTTGGCCAAGTCAATGAACTTAGACACCGGACCACAACAGCTCTTCTGGTTCGTCTCGCCCGTCGTCTGTCGCCCGTCTGCCGGCCTCAGGGAAGTCCCCCCCAGGAGGACGTCGTCTGCTGGCCGAGGGGCGGGGCGGGGTCCACTCGGACTTACCTTCATCTATGAGCCGCTCCACGTGAATGAAGACGTTCGGGAAGGCGGCGAGCTGTTTTCTGTCCTTGAGCAGTTGCGCCAGGTAGTCTGCTATACTTTGCATGGTCGGATGACCCTGCTGGTCACTCATGATGGCACGGTTGGCACCCGGTGCGCGGGACTGGCAGTCGGTCACAGAGCGGTCCAGTGAGACAACACCACTGACGACGACGAACGGTAACAACCCAAACCCCAACCTGAGCCGTCGAGACGAGACCTCCCGATCTGTTCGAATCAAGCGGCAGAAAGGCCAGCGAACAACTAACGCGCACTCATCTGGACCTCACGCGCGGCGCACAGCAACTGAGTCTGGCTCGAGCCGCCAGAGCACTGGTTGGTCCTCTCCTCGTGGGCCGTGGGCGAGCCGGGGCCGGGGCGGCCGGGAGGGGAGGGGGGCGGCGCGGCGCGG